AAACTATTTAATAAATCTAGAGTTTCTTGATTTCATAAATAGGGGGATTGAAAGGATTCCTAAATAAAAACCAGTGAGGGGAGGAATATAGTCGGACGGGGCCGACCATATCATACCCTACACAACTACCACGAAAATAAAGTTTTCTGCGGTTCTATATTCTGAGCCTGGGCAATATTTCGTGATATGTGCACCATTTTTACCGATTTCGGATCAACAACTTCATTTCTAAGCCCGTCATATTTTCCAAAATGATTTTTCTTTGAGTGAATTTTTACGCCATAAAATAAAAAATTTGTCACTTTAGGTTTTGGTTGATTTGACCCTCGGAATATTGACCGATCATCATCTAAGTATTTGGTTAGATCCCCTTCACCTTGTAAAATATGTGATATTCTGTATATAATAATTGCCCCTAGAGCGACTAGAAAATCTGACAAAATTAAAGTTTTCGGTTCATTGCACCCCCTGAATGAAATCTCAACTTCACCGAAAACTATAGGCGTCATCCTTGACCATAATCGGAACCTTATGTACACTTTCAAAGCGATCAACGTGAAATTTCCGTCCTCTTATGGAGTAATATTAATACTATGCATATAGTCACCTTTACCTAATTACGTATAACACCCACATCAGAGTACATACAGCCATATAATTGGTATCAATTTGAAGGTCAACAACTCCTCTTGGATATACCACCAACTTCTAGGGTATATGTCCTTCAGGAGCAAGTATATACGCCCCAGAATAAAAATGTTGTAATTTTTCACACAAAAGTCAGGGTCCATTTGACCCATTAAATATTAAACGATCTTTATCAAAACAGGCATGCTTATTCTTTGGCCCGATCTCCTTCTCCATGTAAAATTTCACGATGGACCATACCTGAGGACTCTGGAGCGACCAGAAAAACCGACAAAAATTAAGTATTTGGTCCATTTCATCTCCTAAATATTAACCGAACTTTACCAAAAACAATAGGGGTCTTCATTGACCAGAACTCATTCTACATGCAAAATTTTGTGAAGATGTGCCCATAACTGTGGCCTGTATCGTGTTTACAAGTTATAATGGACAGACGGACGGACGGACACACATGTCTAGATCGACTCAGCTAGTCGAGATATGACGATCGGTATACATAAAGGTGGGTCTAGGACCAATTTTTCGAGGCGTTACCAACTTTTGGGGCTGCACAAAGCTATAATACCCTGACAACATAGTTGTGTAGGGTATATTGATTCCAGTATTGCCGATTATTTATATTTGTTTATTAAAATACTTTATATATACGACGTTATTCCTATAATTATTATCAATATACTTGATTGTACAGGAGATTACAATTATGCAATATTATTGAAAAAAAAACACTGTGGACGTCATTAAATAATCATTAATTTTCAATTTTAAATTTGCAAACTTAAATTTGGCAAAATGAATATTAGTCTATACAAATTGCTTCAATAATCAAATTTAAAAAAAATCGCAGAAAAATGTTAACCCCAACATATATGTTTCGTATCCTTCTAATATACACACTATTTATTAAGGTAAGGAACAATCGATATTTCTCATATACAAAACTTTACCTACTTCCATTTACAGTTATGTAGTGGCAGTACACTTGTACTGAAGAGCTTACAATGCCAAATACACGACAATCGTTAAATTCGACCTTTGTAAATTGTATTCCGAGTCGAAAAAACAATCAAGCCTATCAATAACTGGACGCATCCTCCAATTACCAATTCGTAATTGTAATATTGGCGTACTTGTGGGTCTTGCTAGCGGTAATAGTTTACCCGTGGTCAATGGAACTTGGGATATATGCGCCTTTATGGAAAATCGACGTAAAAATTTGGCATTTAATCGTTTGTTTAATTATGTGGCTCCTTTTACCAATATCAACCATTCGTGTCCTTTTAATGTAGGTTTTTAGAAATAAGTGACAATTAAGGAATTTGATATTATTTATATACATATTTTCGTATTGCAGCACGACGTGATTGTAAATAATTTGACTTTTGACAATCAAAAACCGTATATGCCTCTACCTAATGCTGTTTATAAAATATTTCTAACTTTTACGACTGATGGAAAATATCGCGCCTCAGTTGAGGTCAAACTTAATGTGGCGAATTAGACATATTCTAATAAATATATGGGTATGGAAGTTGTATATAACAGCAGTATGCTTATAATATTCACTTCGATCCCATACATTTGGATACCACACACAACTTTCTGTGTCTGCTTCTGTATTAAAATTGTGTAGTACTAAATCTAGATCAAGCTAATTCAATACTTTTGGCATACTGAATATTGTAGAAACGTCACCAGCGAAACACAGAAGCAGCTTGAAATTTCATAGGCAACTATGTTTTTTATTCGAAATCAAATATTTTGACAAAAAAAGTAGATAACAAATGACTTTACTGGATGACGTTATATATAGGCCTTGGTAAGGTGTATAAATATAAAGGATATGTTGGTCGATCGAATCCAGCAGTGAAGCTGTCAATATTTTTCTTTACGTTGTAATACGTTTAATTCGAAATAATTGATAACACGGGTACAGATAATATCTGTCTTCCAGTTCTACCTTATATACTCAAATACTGAACAGCAATAGTTTATCTCTGGCCAAGGGACATGAGACGCATGTGCCGTTTTCAGTACTTGACGTAAAAATTTGACATTGACATTGAATTCGTAATAGATGCCGTTGTATGAATGATAAATTGTATTGATGTAAGAGAATGGTTATGGCAGATGTACCAAAATTTGTATTACCACACAATCCTAAGGCTGATTCCACAGTGACATATGCATGCTTTTTATACCCTTCACCACACTGTGGTACAGGGTATTATGTATTTATGCATATGTTTGTAACAGGCAAAATGAAACAAGATAGACACATGGTTCCTTTTGAGAATATGCATAGAATCACTTTCTGAGTCGATTTATGCATTCCGTCCGTCCGTAGATGTTAAATTGTAAACAAAGTACAGGTCGCATTTATGATCCGATTTGTATGAAATTTGGCCCAAGGACGAACCCTATTGAAATTGGGAAAAATCGGTTCAAATTTAGATATAGCTCCCATATATATTTTCGTCCGATTTAAGGTAAGTGGGCTACCAAAGTCCCTATATATCTTTCGATGTGCATGAAATTTGGCATAGAGTACTGAATTAGGTGCAGAATGATGTGTTCCTTGTTTCGAGATAATCGGTTCAGATTTAGATATAGCTCCCATATATAGTTTTTTTTCCGATTTAAGATAAATGGTGCACCAAAGTCCCTATATATCATTCGATTTGCACGAAATTTGGCATAGAGTACTGAATTAGGACCAGAATGATGTGTGCCAAATTTCGAGAAAATCGGTTCAGATTTAGATATAGCTCCCATATATAGTTTTTTTCCGATTTAAGGTAAGTGGTGCACCAAAGTCCCTATATATCATTCGATATGCACGAAATTTGGCATAGAGTACTGAATTAGGTGCAGAATGATGTGTGCTAAGTTTCGAGATAATTGGTTCAGATTTAAATATAGCTCCCATATATAGATTCGTCCAATTCTATGTAAATGGTGGACCAAAGTTCCTATATATCTTTCGATTTGCTTGAAATTTGGCACAGCATACTAAATTAAGTCTAGAATGATGTGTGCTAAGTTTCGGAATATAAGTCCCACGATTTTACATAAAAGGTGCACCAACCTTCTAATGTTTGTGCAATTAACACGATTTTTTGTACAACGTATCAAGTTGAGACTTGAATAACGTTATTGCGTTGCGTTGAAATTGATGTAGATGCTGTCATAGCTTCCATATGTATTTCGAATGGATGTCTGAATGAAATAGCGAATAGCGTCTATTAATTTTGCTATAAGTCGTTTTTCATAAATTTGTCCCATGGTACGAAGTCGACTTTAAATCTGCCCGAATGAAATTAAATTTATCATATGTTGCAGAAAGACTTGCGTATGTTCCTTGGAGGGGATACATTTGTACAATATACCCAAAGTGGTGAAGGGTATCATATAGTCGGCCCAGTCCGACTTTACTGCTTTCCTTACTGGTTCAATATTCAATCAGCAAGAACTAGATGATAGTCGGCCGGCTTGTATTAAATGATCTTTATAAGCAAGGTGCGCAAAAATTCAAAATACATTCTTTACGTTTTGTGCTCATTTTACGAATGAATTTATGGCGATAAATTCTTCACCAAACGAGCATTCGCCAAAGAATGTTCGCACACACATAACAAACGAGTGAAAGCACACAACCACTAAACGATCATTCGTTTCGTTTGGTGGTTGAAATTCTTTCTGACATTCTCTCACAAATGAAAACAAACATTCCCAAATTCTCCCGAATGCTCAAAACAGCAACAACAAACGTTCGTGAACTCAATAGTTGTTGGACATGTGTTTTGTTATTCCACACACTTTCTGCCTGTCTGTTTATTCGCGAACATTTGTTTTTTGAGTTTTTTCAAAAGAATGTTCTTCAACAACAAATGCTCGCGGAAGAATGAATTTTTCCTGCAATGCGAACATTTGCGAGAGATTGCAAATGCTTGTTCATTCAATGTAAATTTGTCTTTCGCGATAAATTGAAAACATTCGAATTCTCGCCGTGAGCATTCGTGAGAAAGAGCGTATTTTAATCATTGTTCGCACCCTGTTTATAAGACCCAAGTTTTTAGGCAAAATAACATCTGACAATCAGGTTACGGTAAAAAACCTCTTTACTACGACCGAGATATTCTTTAGTTTTGTGAGCTGTGTCGGCAAGATGTTAGCCAATTTTGATGTGAATTTGAAAAATATCAATGTGTTCGTTCACCTCTTGTTGGCAAACCCTTCGTAACATTCAATGGAAAAAAATGCTCATGAATTTTAATGATTTTTTATCCTTTTTATTAATTTACTAAAAACAATTATGTAAATGCATTCCAACAAACACATTTGATTTTGATTTACAAACGTTTGCGGATAACACGACGACGAACAGTTTTGTAACGGTAGCCATCATTGCCGAAAGAGGCAGAGGCGATAGGAGCGGAGGCAGCAGGGGCCAAATAGCTGTTTGAGGGGACAGATGCGGAAGCAGAGTAGCTTTGGGTGTAAGTAGGAGCGGGGGCACTGTAGACGGGAGCAGGAGCGCTATAGGAAGGAGCAGGGGCACTGTAGACGGGAGCAGGAGCGCTGTAAGAAGGAGCTGGGGCACTGTAGACTGGAGCAGGAGCAGGGGCGGAGTATACAGGTTCAGGTACGGAAGCAGCTGGTGGAATATAGGTGTTTACTGGGGTAGAAGCAGCTGGTGCAGGGGGGATGTAGGTGTTAACTGGGGTAGAAGCAGCTGGTGCAGGTGGGATGTAAGTGTTAACGGGGACAGAAGCAGCTGGTGCTGGTGGAATGTAGGTGTTCACTGGAACAGATTGAGCTGGGGCATGGTAATCATAGCCAGAGTTCAATTCAGAAACATCGGCCAAAACACCAGCAACCAAAGCCAAAGTCAAAATAATGAATTTCTAAGAACATCAAAAGAGAAATAAAAAACAAATTATTTAATTTAGTATGCGGCTGCCAACTGAACTATTTGCATAATTTACCATTTTGATAGTTTTCTTTTGAGTTTATTTGCAATGCTCCGCACTGAACTGTTGATAAAACTGTAGTGACGATAACGGACATGCATTGCCTATTTATATCGCCGAAATTTGTCGTCGTGATTTTAGAACTTGAAATTCTAGGTTTGGCAATGGTCACCATAATTGGATGCTGTTGCTCATGATATGGTTTATGTTTATGCATATTATGTGGAAGATTTTGTGTTTTGTTGTTGTTGTTTAATGTATTCTAAATTATCTGCATTTTATGCAACAGTGATGGGTGAGCCTAGACGGCTAGTGAAATTTAATCGTATTATTATTTAAATTTTTATATAAGGAACATAATTATAATTCTACAATGAATGTCTTCACTTTCTTTGTAGATAAGCGATTAATTTTGTTTTTTATTGCTTTTTAATTGCATTCGAGTTCGTTAGTTTTGCGAAATTTTTGTTTTAAATTTTTGATGAAAACTAAGACTAGAATTTTGTTATTTCTCATTATAGAATTTAGTTATTATTAAATCACCATGAAATTAGTCATAGCATTTTTAATATTGGCGATTTTCAAACGGCTGACAACTTGCATTATATTGAAGATTTGTAAATTTATCTATGTATATTTGAACATTTAAAGGAAAAAACAAGTGAATAAGCGTTAACTTTAGATACCCTCCACCATATATATACTGTCAGGTACTTGAAATGAAAATAAAGGGAACATACCAAAAAGTGACCTTTCTACAAACTGATATTGTAAACAACAATTCCAGCAATTTTTAATGAATATTTATACACTTAGAACCAAACCCAAAACGCAGAACAAATCAGATAACTATTTTAATATAAAAATGAGGTTATATGGGGACTACGCCAAAAAGGGTGCGAATATTAATAATTTTTATTAGGGAGATTTGTTACCATATACGACTATAAAATACCAAATTGCAGCGAATTCGGTTGAAAAACGCGCTCAAGAACCCCATAATATCAAAAATTGGGGGTACCCTTATATGGGGGCTACCCGAAAAAATGGGCCTATATTCATAATTTTTTGTGGAGAGATTTGGTACCTATTAAGAACTCAAAATACTAAATTACAGCCAATTCGGTGGACAACTACGACCAAAACCCTCAAAATACTAAAAATTAGGAGGTACCGTTATATAAGGACTACCAGAAAAAGTTAACCTATGCTTATAATTTTTTGTGGAGACATTTAGTACCCAATAAGAACCCAATATAGCAAATTTAAGGGAATTCGGCTGAAAAACGCGCTCAAGAACCCCAAAATACCGAAAATTGGGGGGTACTCTTATATGGGGGCTACCCGAAAAAATTGACCTATATTCATATTTTTTTTTTTGTGGAGAGATTTGGTACCTATTAAGAACTCAAAATACTAAGTTACAGCCAATTCGGTGGAAAATACGACCAAAACCCTCAAAATACTGAAAATTAGGAGGTACCGTTATATGGGGGCTACCAGAAAAAGTAGACCTATACTTATAATTTTTTGTGGAGACATTTAGTACCCAATAAGAACCCAATGTAGTAAATTTCAGGGATTTCGGCTGAAAAACGCGCTCAAGAACACCAAAATACCCTTATATGGGAGCTATGCCTAAACGTGGACCGATATATCCCATCTTCGAACTTGACCTGCCTGCAGACAAAAGACAAACCTAGGCAAAATTTCAGCACCCTATCTCAATTCCTTCAGACGATAGCGTGATTACAACAGACGGACGGACATGGCTAGATCGTCTTAGAATTTATCCTAACAGACGTCGCCTTTTCTAAGGAACATTGACATGAAATTGAACGAACTTAAATACACGATCTTTATCTATAAGTAAACCGACTAACATCAATTCCAACACATGCCATTCTACAACCTATTCTAATTTTTTTAAATAGATTTAAAGCACACGCTATTTGGTATCCTTCACTGTATAAAATGTATCAATCAGGCACCCATTGATTATTTGGTGTACAGTCAACATGAATAGGTCGAAATTATATATGGAAGCTGATATGAACCGGTTTCAAGGAAACTTGCTAGATATTAATTTTTATTCATTTCTGTACGCGCATGGGTCTGTAAGGGCCTTTAGTATACCATTTACTTAAAATCGGATATATATATATATATATATAAATTTATATATCACGAATTCCACAAAAAGGTCAACCACACAGGTGAAAAATCAATTCGTTAAGAGAGATATGAAATTATATAGGAAATATTCTTTGCAATCCGGACAATATATTTTTAGTTGAATTTTGAAAAATAACCGTAGTTTTTCTTTTCGTTGTACCATTTTCGCGTGGAGAGTAACTTGGGCATATTTTTATTAGTTTTAGAGTGTCATTTGTCGTAATTGTGAACGCTGTTAGCTAAAACAATATCAATAATAAATATTAAATTCAAATAAAGTAATATCTTACTAAGAATTACATATATATAAACCTATACATATACCAAGAAAATCCCGTGGTAAGTTCAGTTAAATAGTGTAAGAAAATATGTAACGCGTGCGTGACAAAATTAACATATGTTTCTATACAGACTCTAATATGAGAATTTTTTTTTTTGATAATGCTGTTATGTGTGGATCTTGAGATGACAAACTCAAATAAAACAAAGTTTGTCTTCTATCTCCATCGAACAAATTTGTATCCGTCACGCACATGTTACATTCTTCCTCAATAAGTTGCTTTAGAACCGAATTTACAGGCAAAAATATCGTCCATAACTGCATAATGATATACCAAAGGTCTTGGGGCCACACAAAGCTATAATATACTGACAACATAGTTGTGTGGGGTATAAGAACTAGCATTTTTAAAACATTTTGTTTTGAATTTAATTTTTTTAGTACATGTGTGTGTAACAGTGCGTTACGAGTGTAACATGTGCGTGACGGTGTTCAAAGTTAAAAAAGTATATCTTAGAAAATTTTTTCTCAAAAAAATGGAATGTCAATATAATCTTGAATAACCCATTATAGCTGTAAAAAAAATCCGCAATTTTATCTCCAGCCAATTCGCAGAAATTTCATATCGAAACTTATATCCAATTTTTAAAGGGAAAATTTTGTAGCGCGTGCGTACGCTAATTTTTTCTTAATTTCTCCGACATTTACAAACATATTCATAAAAAAATTAGCAGGTATTGTAAAAGGTGTAAAACTATTTAATAAAAATTGCGAAAGAAATTTCGGAAACAAATTTTTCTTAACTAAACAAACGATTATGTTTCGCACGCTGTAACAGTGCGTGACATGGAATTCGTGATATATAAAAGGTATATGTAAATCTGAACAAATTTCAAGGAAACTTGACACACCAAAGGTTATAGTAACAGTACATTGTACAAAATTGTGTGCCGATCGACCAATCTTTGGGTCTTTACTGCACAATTTAAATTAAATCGGTCGAAAATATATATTGAAGCTATATCTACATCTGAACCGAAACGCATCATTCTGTACCTAATTCAGTACCCTATTCCAAATTGTATGCAAATCGAAAGATATATAGGCCCTTTGGAGCCCCATTTACCTTAGATTGGACGAAAATATATATGGGAAAATCTGACCCGATTCTCTCGAAACTTAGCACACATCATTTTAGAACTATTTCAGCACTATGTGCCGAATTTCGTGCAAATAGAAAGATATATAGGGACTTTGGTGCACTGTTTACATTAAATCGGACGAAAATATATATGGGAGCTATATCTAAATCTGAACCGATTTTCAGGAAACTTAACACACCTCATTCTAGGCCTAATTCATTACGCTGTGCCAAATTTTGTGCAAATCGAAAGATATATATGGACTTTGGTGCACTATTTACATAAAATCGCACAAAACTATATATGGAAACTATATCTAAATCTAAACCGATTTTCTCGAAACTTGGCACACATAATTCTAGACAAAATTCAGTACACTATGCAAAATTTCGCGCAAATCGAAAGATATATATGGACTTTGGTGCACCATTTACCTTAAATCGGACGAAACTATATATGGGAGCTATATCTAAATATGAACCAATTTTCAGGAAACTTAACACACCTCATTCTGGACCTAATTCAGTACTCTATGCCAAATTTCTTGCAAATCGAAAGATATATAGGGACTTTGGTGCACTGTTTACATTAAATCGGACAAAAATATATATGGGAGCTATATCTAAATCTGAACCGATTTTCAGGAAACTTAACACACCTCATTCTAGGCCTAATTCATTTCATTTGAATTTCATCCAAATCGAATCATAAATGCGATCTGTACCTTGTTAACAAAAATACATAGACGAACGGACATGCATAAATCGACTCAGAGAGTGATTCTATGCATATCCTCAAAAGGAACTATAGGTCTATCTCGATTAACATATGCACAAAGACATAATACCCTGTACCACGCTGTGGTGAAGGGTATAAACATGGGCCAATATATCTAATTTCTGTAAAAACGTCCATGTTGAAATATTAAAATTTTTCTATCAGAAGTTTTTTTTAAGTTTAAGACATGATGTGTATGAAAGATACGATGTGTATGAAATGTAAATAAACCAAGTAAAAATGTATCAATCGGTGTTGCCGACTATTGTTTGCTATGTTCTACGGAATTATATATTGGTTTTAATGCTCTTTATATGAGATAAATGTTTCTTTAGCAAAGACTTGACCATCCAGAAGTGGTTGTCCTATAGACCCCATCTTCGGTTTTAAAGTATGTTTGGTAAAAAATTACGTTGCGCAAACAATGAATTACATCGATTGTTCAATTAACTTCAAATTAAATCTACAGATTTGTAAAAGGTTTATCTTTTTTCTATAAAAGGTAGACAAATTACATATTATGTACATAGTTTCGAAGAAATTCGATATTCAGTTCGCTTTATATGAGGTTTACAGATTTTTAAAATATTGACCCTTTTGTGACCCAATAAATCCCATCTTACGGTAATATACAAGCATGGTTAAAATATTAGGTTGTGCAAAGTTGGGGTTCAAATTGTGTAGTTTGTTCGCAGACAAAATAATTTGACATTTTTGCGTGGAAGCTACCCGATGGAGTGGATCGATATTCCCCATCATTGAACTTGATTTAAGATTGGAAGAAATGTTTCGATGTGAATGTTTGGACGAAATCGGTGACTCTCTTCGAATAATTATTTTTTATCACTACAAACTGTTTAAGAATCTCTGCATCGGAACAAAAAAGTTGTTGGACCAGAATGATAAACGCTTATATCGTTGACAATGCTCTCAATAGTTATTTTCTTAGACAACAAATTCCTGTGCTACATATTATTTGGTTTTAATTCCGGTATTTCTAGATGCATTAATTGAATTTAATGCTACATTAAATTATTAGCATGCCATTAATTTAAGGTGGACATAGAGATAGGTCCGGAATGTGATATCACATTAATTAAGAAATTGTTCAAGCATTCTTATTAGAAACAAAATTATTTCTACGCGCAACGGCATCTGTAGGGAAAGATGCATTTTAGTCGAAAAATTTACTAAATCGGTTGAAAGAAAGGACACAAGGTAATTTTTTACTCATAAACAAATTATTGAGGATATGAGTCTTTTTTATGAATATGGTTTAAGTCCATTTTAGGTTCTAATACATATCTTGGTTTTCTTGATAAGTTTACAAAACGTATTTCTTTATATTCTGCAATGTTATAGGGCACCAGGTAAAAAATATTGAAATAAACCAAACAACAACATTTAAATATCTCAATATAAAAATGGACTTAAACCACTTAAACGACTCATATATTTATTTATAAAAAATCTTGACAAACTCCCTCATTTGTATAATGTATATTAAAAGGCTACGATAACAGTCCCACATAGTAGAAGATTTTAAACTTATCATCGTTTAAAATTGTCAGACCAAACTTTATTATGTCCCTTTCAATATAAAGTGGTAAATATCTATTTCAATTCCCTTTTTTATTTAGACTCATTTTCCATCGTAATTTTGGTTAAAAAATGTGTATCCTCTGCTGTTTTAATACTAATTTGGAGATCTGACCCACTGAGTATTTATAGTAAAAACCAGTAAGGAAAGTAGTAAAGTCGGACGGGGCCGACTATATGATACCCTTCACCACTATGGGTATATTAAACAGAACTATTAACATAAAATTGGATGAAATAAAATATGTGATATTTATATAAATGTGAATCTACCTTGATCTATCCATAAGGTATGTAAATCGACTTCAAACAAATATAAATAGGTCATCCGTTGGGTTATTTCTGTACTTCTAGAAAACGCAACTACGTAATTCTATGTTCAATTTTGTAATTTGTGCAAAATTTGATGTCAATCTGACTAACATGAGGAGTTTGATGCCCCATTTACTTGAAATCTGGCGAAAATATATATGGAAGCTCTATCCAAATATTAAGCGATTTCAAACAAACTTGTCACAGGTTAGGTTATACTAATTTCAGAACGTTTTGTTCCTATCAGCATATTGGTTCCTTGGTGCATCAATTACTTAAAATATATCTATAATAAAAGGGAGCTTTATTTACATGAAATCGGACAAAACTATATATGGAGCTATATAGAAATCTGATTTTCTCGAAACTTGGCAGACATCACTCTAGGCTCAATTCAGTACGTTATGCCAAATTTCGTGCAAATCGAAGGATATATAGGGACTTTGGTGCACCATTTATATGAAATCGGACAAAACTATATATGGGAGCTATATATAAATCAGGACCGATTTTCACGAAACTTGGCAGACATCATTCTAGGCTCAATTCAGTACGTTATGCCAAATTTCGTGCAAATCGAAATATATATAGGGACTTTGGGGCACCATTTACATGAAATCGGACGAAACTATATATGGGAGCTATATAGAAATCTGGACCGATTTTCACGAAACGTGGCATACATAATTCTAGACTCAGTTCAGTACGTTATGCCAAATTTTGTTCAAATCGAAAGATATATAGGGACTTTGGTGCACCTTTTACATGAAATCGGACGAAACTATATATGGGAGCTATATCTAAATCTGGACCGATTTTCACGAAACTTGGCAGACATCATTCTAGACCTAAATGATTAGGCTGTACCAAATTTCGTGCAAATCGAAAGATATATAGGGATCGTTTACATTAAATCGGTTAAATATATATGGGAGCTATATATAAATCTGAACCGATTTTTCCCAATTTCAATAGGGTCCGTACTTGGACCGAATAAGTGACATATGCCAAATATCATCCAATTCGGATCATAAATGCGACCTGTACTTTGTTTACAATTTAACATGGACAGACAGACGGACAGACGGACGGACATGCATAAATCGACTTAGAAAGTGATTCTATGCATATTCTCAAAAGGAACCATGTACCTATCTCGTTTCCTTTTGCCTGTTACAAACATATGCACAAAGACATAATACCCTGTACCACAGTGTGGTGAAGGGTATAAAAATCATGAAAAGAGAACATACCGCCTACATGGATTCGGATAATAAACACAAATATTAATTATTAGTTTTTATTAATGATTTTTTTATTAAAATATTTTCAAACATATCATATCCAATATGAAATAATACAAAATTCAACAAGTCGTTACCAACGCTTAGACACGTTGACGGAGGACACGACGACGGACGGTCTTGTAACGATAACCATCACTGCCGAGATTACCACTGAAAGAACCGGAAGAGGCTCCACCAAAACCACCAGCGGAGGCACCACCGAAAGCACCAGAAGATACACCACCGAAACCGCCAGCAGAGGCACCACCGAAAGCACCAGAAGATGCACCACCGAAACCACCAGCAGAGGCACCACCGAAAGCACCAGATGATACGCCACCGAAACCACCAGCAGAGGCACCACCAAAGGCACCAGCGGAGGCACCACCGAAGCTAGCACCACCAGATGATGGAGGGATATAAGTGTTGACGGGAGCAGCTGGGGCAACATAGCTTTGTACTGGAGCGGGAGCAGATGCAGCTGGTGGAATATAGGTGTTCACTGGGGCAGCTGGTGCAACATAAGTTTGGACAGGGGCAGGAGCAGATGCAGCAGGTGGAATGTAACTGGTGGCTGGTGCAGAAGCAGCAAAGCTACCACCTCCCACAGCACCACCAAATCCAGCACTACCGCCAAAACTACCACCAGCAGCAAAACCGCCAGCACCACCACTTACAGATGGTCCATTGTAATCATAACCCAATTCGGAAACATCAGCCATAACTCCGGCCACCAAAGCCAACGACAAAATAATGAATTTCTATATCGAATAAAACAAAAAAACAATTTAATTTCTTTTCTCTCAAAAAAATCATTTTTTTTCACACAAAACTTACCATTTTACAAAAGTTTTTATCTATCTCTGGTCCTAAGCGGAGAACAGCTGAAAGAGTTATGATATATTCTAACATCAGCCCTTTTCGTATTTATACAAAAATATAATTTTACTCAAAATCGTTTCAAAGAATACTACGAAAAATATATTAGCGGAAGTTTTCGTTTAGTTTTAAAGTTTATCTTTTTTTTTTGTAGTTCGACAAATTTTAATTTGACCTGGCGGGCTAATAATTCAATGTAAAATTTATGTTTAAACGTGTTTCTAGCATTTTTTTCTTCCTCCTCTTTGTGATAATTATTATCTTGGTTTTTGGCTTTTTTCACATCTTCCTATCAGCCGCAGAAGTTGGTCCGAATCGATTAGACAGTAGTGGCAGCAAAGTCATTAATTTTTTTAGTATTTAAATTTATGGTCGGGTATTACCAAAAACATAACATGAAACAATACTGCCTTAGTAAATATAAATATTAATGTAATTTATCTGGTCAAATTTTGATTTAATGATATATGAATAGATCTGATCCATTTTTGACAAGTAAAAAAATCGATGAGTGCACCAAAACGCATACTCTTCTTCTACTATTTATTTTTCAAAAAATGACAATACAAAATGTTTTATTTTGGGGAGTAAAAATTCCTTTTGGGGATGAAAGACCTTGGTGAGTATATATAACCTCCGGTACGAAAAATTCGCCATAGGACAAATTTCGGATTTATGGCGTGTTATTTTTTTTCTGGCTACCCTATTATTCTTGAAGAGATAGCTTCATATATTAATTTGTAACAATTGTATTTATTTTTTGAGATTTTTTTTAGAGCGTGGATTTTTTTTAGAAAATTTCGTCCTCCGAATTTGATTCATTGTGTGTCCTTTTTGTTATTAATTTATTGAACCGGACTCCAATGACTAGAAGATGCGATTTTGCATCTTCGCAATATTCAACAAAAATGTTGCTCGTAAGATTTTAGGTGGGGTCCTCAAAGGCGAGTTATCGCTATTTTAAAGTTTTATTGGTCTACTAGCCTATGTCCGCTACTTCGAATGTGGGAATTATCGACCATTATTAAAATTATAGTATGTTCTATTATAGTACGTTTTTCTAGAAGTACCTTGAAATCTCAACACTACACACCAATTATGAAAAAAAATTCAAATATAGATTTACCCAAATCCAAATTTATTATCAGTTAGTATACATTTATATAAAAAAATTTCCATAACTACCTAAACAATTATAAGTATCATTTATTACTTGATTCCAGCTCTATAGAAAAAAATTTCAAATTTAGTACCATCTTGCACACTTAAGTACAAATTTCCATTACTACATACAGCATGCAATCCGATGGAAATCTAATTACCAAATTTCAGGAGTCCAGTTCTATCGGTTCACTCTAAAACCAAATTGTACTTAATATAGTGCCAATTAGTACAAAGACATTTTCAAAACTTCCCCAAACCAAATGTGATCCTATCTTCAAATTTCGAGATTGCAGCTGTATCAGTTCACCCAAATCCAAATTTGGTACCATTTAGTACACATTAGTATGACCTACAACAATGATCCTAACTCAAAATTTCTCCCAAAATTCAAATTGTACCAAATTTAGTACAATTTAGAACCCATAAATATGAATTTCCAAAACTAAACCATACCCCAATGCTACACTCTAACAGTAAGCTTATTTCAGGGTTCCAGCTCTATCAATACACCCAAATCCATATTTGGTACTATTTTTTACACACTCGCACAAATTTTCAAAACTTTCTACATATTCCAATCCTACACCCCAACAGTGACCCTAACTCCAAATTTCAGGATTCCAAGCTGTTTTGGTTCACCTAACATTTAAATTGTACCAAATTTAGTACTCGTTAGTACAAATTTCCAACACTTTCTACAAAGACCAATCCTACACCCAACAGTGATGTTAACATCAAATTTCAAGATTCGACCTTAATCGGTTCATCCAAATTCACATTTGATACCATTTAGTACAAATTTCCAAAACTTCCTACATAGGTTCACGCAAAATTTAAATTGTTCACAATTTAATTCACATTATTAGGAATTTCCAAATCATCCTAAATAGCTCAATTCTACCCCGAACTATGATCCTAACTCCAAATGTCAAGATTCCAGCTCTATTGGTTCACCCAAATCCAAATTTGGTACTATTAGTACACATTAGTACGAATTTCCAAAATTTCCTATATACACCAATCCTACCCCTCAACAATGATCATAACTCCAAATTTTAGGATCCCAGCTCTATCGGTTCGCCCAAATCCAAATTGTACCAATTATAGTACGATTCAATACTTTTCGTACACATAAGTAAACAATTTCTAAAACTCCGTACATATCCCAATCCTACACTCCGACGGTAATGTTAATTTAAAATTTCAGTATTCCAGATCAATTTGTACCTACACATTAAATTTGTACCAAATATAGTACCATGTAGTAACTTTTGTACACATGAGTACACACTTTCAAAACTATCTCCTTATACCGACCCTAGCTCTTAATCTTAATTCGCATTTTAAATTCCAAGTTTTTAGCTCTATCGATTCACATGCTACGAAATCGTACCAAATTTAGTACATTATAGTACTTTTCGGATACTTATAGTTAATTTTGCTATATCTATTCTACACACCATCAGTGACCCTCATTTCAAATTTAAGATTTCTAGGTCTACCGGTTCGCCAACTTCAAATGGTACCACATTTAGTACTGTTCATTCCAAAAACCAGCCTTATCTGACATTTCTGGGCCGAGAGTGACTCTCACCCAAAAATTCAAGATTCTAGCTTCAGCAGATTCGTCTATAGACATTCCTTATTATATACAACTCATGGATTCGTCCGAAAAAAGAGCCGGGTTTCTAAATGTTTTAACCGGTTTGACCTGTATATTTGTTGTTCTTGGATCAGACATATTTCATTACAATGTTTAATTTAGATCCACATTGTTTTAACACACATTTTTTCTTTTCCAGTTTTCGTGTGAATGGACCCCAAATACATCGCAAAATGGGCTTGGCACAATATCCACCGGGTCCCATCGGCTCGCCAGATGATCCATTGGCCGATCCCTTTGATGATCCCTCATATAGTTTTGCTTATCGAACACCGGATCAATCACGTTCCGAAGATAATGATGCAACGGGACGAGTAAGAGGTATAAGACAACAACAAAATTTACTTAAAAATATTCCAATTTAAACCTATATTTCCAGGACTCTATTCATTTGTGGACGATGAAGGTGAACGTCACAGTGTTCGTTATGCTGCTGGTGCCGGGACGGGATTTGAAGTATCAAATGCAGTGCCAGATAATCCAGCCAGTGTTGGATACACAAGCCCTTTGTATAAAGCACCACCTGGCACACGTGGTAAAATGTCAGTTCAACGAGGACCTGATGGCACTTATAAGTTAATTGCTGCTGGACCGGATCATAGACGTGCCGAAAGTCGAACACCAGATGGTGTGGTGAGGGGCACTTATTCCTTTCTCGATGACAAGGGAATTCAAAGAACTGTTGAATATATAGCGGGAGCGGGTATTGGTTATAGAGTGGTGAAAAATCGTATTGGACCCACATCGCACATTAATCCTTCGGTATCGGATTTGCGTCTAAGCGATACAAACTTTAAGTTGGCCAATGATTTTGGCACCGGTGCTGGAAGCGGTGGTGTTGGTAGTTCTGGATCTGGTGGTGGCCGTGTGCGAGGTGGTGGCAATCGCAACAGAAGTGGAGGAGGTGGCGGTGGTGTAGACGAAGAAAATGAAATGGAGTATGTATCATCGGATAGTCGTCCAATTACAACATCATCATCTTCGGATACAGATAATGATGACAATGAAATAAGTCTGGGGGATGATGAGGAGAGTGATATTGGTGGTAAAAATAATCGCCCTAATACCAAAACCAAAGCTGATCGCATGGGTACCATTAATCGTGGTCGAGGAGGCACACGAAATCGTGGCAATACAAATTTAAATGATGATGATGTACTCGATCGGGAACCCATGGGCGAACGAGATTCTCCCAAAATACCCTTGCGACCAGGCAATAGATCACCAGGCAATCGTAATAGTGTAACTAACGATCAAAGAGGAAGTAATCGTCGTAATCGGCCACCCTCTAGAAATGGTGGTGGTGGCAGTAGTTCATCATCAAATTCAAATGGTTATGACTACAATCCCCCCTCAAAAGGATCTTCTTCGCGTAATAATTACAATCCCAATGATGATGATATTGGTACCGCTCTGCCCCCATTAATTACGGCCAATCGTAAAATTCTCGAAATCGACAGAGATCGTGAATGGGTGGAACATCATCGTGATTCAACTGTTATAAAAAATGTTGGAAAATGGTATATTGGTTTGCCGCCGGGCCAGAGTGTTCGTGCCCATGTCCAAAATATTGACATATTACCATTGGGTGGTCGTCGGGTGCCATCGCCATCGGAAGCTTTGCGACAAGATGAGCTGGCCGATATGACAGCATCGTATGAACATCATGATAGATCTCCATATAGCAGTTAGTTTTAAGTCCCAAAACACACACATACATAAACACACAAATATACGTATTTATGCAATTAGGTTAAGCGATGAAAGCAATAATTTTTAGATTTTTAAGTTTCGGAAAATAAATATTTTTTTAGTATTATTCCAATTGAAAAACAAAACCCCTAAATAAAGATACAACAATAAACAAATATTACCGTTGCTTTTTGTTCTTGAAATTTTATATTTGTGTAACTTGTGAGAAAATGTGGTATTTTGGTAAGATTGCATTGTTCTTTTTCGGCTATGAGAAGATTTCAGCGACTTCTTTGATGTGATTTTTGGCCATGAATTTGATGTTTGGCAAATGCTAAGTTTAACGACTTCATGAACAGGGTCATTGTGGCGTACTGTGTAATTTTTGGTTTCAATCTATGACATAACTAACCTTCCAGTCTAGATTTTTATTACATTGTATTGCAATATGCCATGTAGTTGTTGGTGAAAATTTATTTACATTTATGTTCTAATTTCCATATTTTCTGAAATGTATCCGAAATTATTATTTTAAGAGCTTATTTGTACAAAACAAATAGTTTATACGTATATCAAAAACCAATTGAACTTATCTATTGCAAATATATGTACGCCTAAAAATATGCTTTATATCTATGTTATTTTTTTTATATTGGCGAAAGTTGGCAACGCTTATCGAAAATAGTTTAGGTGATTTACGTTATGTCAGAGATTATGAAGGGCGAGCATGCGCTTTTGATGGTTTATACAAAGTTCGAGATTAACATAGATTTAAATTGAAACCCTTAATATTTATAAATAATATAAACAGTTGCGTGGATTTATAGATCAAGATACTCGAATAAAATAAACACCTATCTAAATTTTGATGCTGACAATTTTAGTATAATTTTAAGTATACATTGTTTAGTGATTTGGAATCTTTTATTCCTTTTCAAAACGCTGAAACGTTCGAAGGGACAGAGATATTTTAACATTATAACAATAGCCCGCTAAATTAGAATATTCAATGAAAGTTAATTGAAGTCCGATCTTTTTAGAAATACAAAGCTACAGACACTCAGGTTGGAAAATAAGGTGGCCGTTGCATGAGGGTTATGTAGAAACATGGGCTTTGTATAATGTTATATAATTAAGATGATTCCCATCAAAATTCCGGAATCCCACTTCTAAATTTGATATAATTTGGATTTAAATTGTGAGCTATAGATCGCCTCGAAAAAATGCCAAAATTATTATCTGATCATCAGCGAAAATTATAAGAGTTGTCCATGACCATAACTGAACCTCATGGTGATAGCGATCAGCGCTATATTTCCGCCCTCTGGTGTGGTAATCGGTTACTAAATAGTATTCGAATACGTATGCACCTGTAAGTATTTATGTTGAACTCCCACATCCGAGTACATATGGAAATACAAATGTCCCCCACGAGTAAACAGAATACATAGAATACAAATGTTGTAATTTTTCACACAAAAATCAGGGTCCGCTTATATTTATCAATGCATGCATGCTTATTCTTTGGCCCAATCCCCTTCTCCATTTAAAACCAGTAAGGAAAGTAGTAAAGTCGGACCGACTATATGATACCCTTCACCACTATGGGTATATTAAACCGCTGATGATATTTATCTAAATGTGAATCTACCTAGATTTAGATCGTCACAGGTTAGGTTATACTAATTTTAGTACATTTTGTTCCTACCAGCCTATCGGTTCCTTGGTGCGTCAATTACTTAAAATCAATCTATAATAAAAGGGAGCTATATCTAAATCTCAACCGATTTTCACGAAACTTGGCACCCATCATACTGGACTAAATTTACATTAAACCGGACGAAAATATATATGGGAGCTATATCGAAACCTTGACCGATTTTCACTAAATTTGACCGACATCACTCTAGGCTCAATTCAGTACGTTGTGCCAAATTTTGTGAAATCGAAAGATATATAGGGACTTTGGTGAACCATTTACATCAAATCGGACGAAACTATATATTGGAGCTATATCTAAGTCTGGACCGATTTTCTCGAAACTTGGCGGACATCACTGTAGGCTCAATTCAGTACGTTATGCCAAAATTCGTGCAAATCGAAGAATTTGTAGGGACTTTGGTGCACCATTTACATCAAATCGGACGAAACTATATATTGGAGCTATATGTAAGTCTGGACCGATTTTCTCGAAACTTGGCGGACATCACTCTAGGCTCCATACAGTAGGGGAGAGGGGGGCACCTTTGAACGTGGGGCACCTTTGAACAGCGCTCATAAAATCTTGTTTTAAAATTTTTCCGACCCGCAACCACATTTTTGTATATGGCAGTCTTGTTCTCTATCTGCGTAAACCAAGTTCTCGAAAAATTGTGCATGGGTGACCATGTTTTCGCAGTGCCATTGTAAACTTTTATTCATTTGGTTGTAAGGGCGCAGGAAGAATTCTGTGATAGTTTTCTTTCGTCAAACAAATTTGTTGCATTCCAACTATCATTTCAAACATAACTAATGTAATTTCTTTCATATATATTTATTACAAAAAAAGTTATTTTAAATTTCCGTAAAATGCCATGGGTGGGGCACCTTTGAACATGCCCATTAAACTCGAGTAAAAAAATGAGTTTTTAACTTTTGGATTCGATTTCTCAAAATTTCAAATGGGCTAATAAGATTACGAAATTAACTGTATTTTTCACCATATGAATTTTTGTTTTTAAGTCATTTTATGTTTTAATAACTTTTGATCTAAATTTTTTAAATTTTGAACATTTTTTATATATTTTTTAATGAATTAATGCATTTCTGATATGGATGAATAAAATACATATATTTTTGAACAGAAAGACTGTAAAAAACCATGCCGTTCAAAAATACCAAGCTTTGTTCAAAGGTGCCCCCCTGGGGGGGCAGTTTTGAACACTTTGACTTCCTCCATTAAAACAGTAATAAAATATGTATATCAAGCTTAAAGTATGTCATATTTATATTCATTTTAAAGGTTACATATGTACCTATTAGCTAAAATTTATAAGAAACCAAAAATTATAAAATAAAAAATTTTATAAGGCTTGAAAGCAAAAAGTGTTCAAAGGTGCCCCCCTCTCCCCTATGTTATGCCAAATTTCGTGCAAATCGAAGAATATATAGGGACTTTGGTGCACCATTTACATGAAATCGGATGAAACTATATATGGGAGCTATATCTAAGTCTGGACCGATTTTCTCGAAACTTGGCGGACATCACTCTAGGCTCAATTTAGTACCTTATGCCAAATTTCATACAAATCGAAGAATATATAGGGACTTTGGTGCACCATTTACATGAAATCGGATGAAACTATATATGGGAGCTATATCTAAATCTGGACCGATTTTCTCGAAACTTGGCAGACATCACTCCAGGCTCAATTCAGTACGTTATGACAAATTTGGTGCAAATCGAAAGATATATAGAACCTTTTTTGCACCATTTACATGAAATCGGACGAAACTATATATTGGAGGTATATATACTTGGCAGACATCGTTCTAGGCTCAGTGTAGTACGTTATACTAAATTTCGTTCAAATGGACAGATATATAGGGTCTTTGGTTCACAATTTACCTTAAATCGGACGAAAACCAAATACTTAATTTTGGTAGGTTTTTTGATCGCTACAGAGACCGCAATTATGGCCCGAACATTGCGTAATTTTAAATGGAGAAGGGGATTGGGCCAAAGAATAATCATGCATGTGTTGATAAATATTGGTCAATATTAAGCGGGTCAAATGTACCCTGACTTTTGTGTGAAAAATTACCACATTTGTATTCTATGGCGTATATATTTACTCCTGAAGGACAATTGTATTTCCATATGTACTCGGATGTGGGAGTTAAGCTTAAATACTTACAAAAATTCTTGAAGATTGGTCTATAACTGTGACTTGTATCGTGTTTACAAATTGTAATGGACAGACGGACTGACACACATATCTAGATCGACTAAGCTAGTCGAAATATGACGATCGGTATACTTTAAGTTGCGTCTAGGACCAATATTTCGTGGCATTAAAAACTCTTGGGGTTGCACAAAGCAATTAATTTAGTTGTGAAGTTAGCTTGAAAAAGTCTTAAAATATCGAATATTGTGGTGCTATATGGTGATGACACCAAAAACATTGACCTACTTTTGTCATTGATGAAATGTATGTCCAAATATTGTTTGGTCTATCGTGACTGTGGCAGAATCACAATTTAGTAGGATTTTATAATTTTTATACGTTGTGAGATAGTTAAGTGATATATTTTCGGCAATGTCACGCTTTTAACTGGAAAGAAAATATTGATTTTACAACTAAGTTGACAGTTTTCGAATTTCAGTCCAATACTTCTGAAACTACGAAATGAATAACGTTCTATATACATTGTCGGGAATCCTGCAAATATTTCGAGGTGTGGCCAACGGATTGTCAAATAAACATACATCAATTAATTCCCATTACAGTACATTTGATCAAGAAACGTGGTTTAAGCTCCATATTCTTTCGATCAATATTACAAATTCAGATAATATAAATTATGTTCTGTATCTAAATACTTGTACACACATAAATACAAAAAATAAATTAACAAACTTAACGCATAGTGTAACTATACAAAATTGTAATACACACTTCTAACAATTAAAGCATGCTTTTGTATTACTAGATTTGTCTAATGCTAATCCGCATCAAACCACAAAATAATGTGTCAAACAATCTCATTAATCTCATGCAATACCTAAATAGAGTCTTCCTCTACTCAAATGAAAATAAACTGTAATCATTATATGACTGTGCTAAATCTGGGGTTGACGATTTCATTTGTTCTTACAAAATAGTTTAGTAAACCAATAACCTTATTAATTTGCAACATATTGCCAAAGCTGCCTACACATGCACACACACACATTTACTTCTAACAATTCATCTCAAATAACTCATCTCACACGCAGATTATATATTGATATGCAGATATTTGGTAAACTGTATGCCAACTAACT